CTTATTTCTGCTACCTCTTTAATATGGGTGGCATTACTTATACCGTCATTCATATCTATGTAACTATGTGGTCCTTGACTCCGATTAAATCTGCCACCTGTGCTCCACGAGGCATTATTTTCCACACTCTTCGTCTGGAAGACTAACTCGATGCTAAAGACCCCCAGTAGTTCTCATGGTTTAGTCTTTGCTTCATGGACCACGTCTATGGTAAAACAGGCCTACTGTTAGCCACCTAGTTCTAGTCTTCGCCTCGTCTATCCTGTTTCTATCCTTAATACCATGTCTATGACTTGTTATGCCCTAGGCTCTTGTGTGCTAACCCACAAATGTTATTATACTGCTTGCTTTGATTAGGTTCCATATTGAACCACAACATTTTTTGGGTTAGCACACAAGAGACTAGGGCATACCATGTCATAGACATGGTATTAGGGATAAAAAACAGGATAGACGCGGCGGAGACTAGAGCTAGGTGGCCGACAGTAGGCCTGTTTTACCACAGACGTGGTCCATGAAGTAAAGGCTAAACCATGAGAACTACTAGGGGTCTTTAGCATCGAGTTAGTCTCCCAGACGCAGGGTGTGGGAAATAACGCCTCGTGGAGCACAGGTTGGATTGCAGGGGTCGAGTAAAATACTTGAACCTGGGAGATAACAGACGGATCTTACGGGGCAAGAGGGAGACTCTGATAGGACCTAAGGAAGGAGGACTGTGTAACAATATGGCAGACTGATCAACATTCCCAGCACAAGGGTGAAGGCGGGTGAGTATGCCAGCGTAGTGGGGGGGGGTTCTCATGAAAGCCGCTCAAAAGGGCACATCACACTGCATTAAAATAAGCAGGTAAAAAGTGTGACAGTCAAGGCATGATACGAGAATATAGGATTGTTGAATAGCCCAGGACAGGAGAGATACCACAACTGCTTCGCACACACTAGTCAAAGAATCGGTTTCACTTGTCTCCTTGACGAGCTTTAGCGTGGTACTAAGAATGGCAAGACTCGCTGACGATGCCGGCGAAACGTCTGGTAATGTTTTATGTCCGTGGTCCGACTTTGGTAATGATCATGTATACAATGGACCCTGGACTAGATGCGAAAACAAAATCAAACAACTTCTGTACAACGAAAGGAGACTGACCACACAAAGGGTCACACCATCTTGGTCTTCATGTCTTTGATATTAGCTAGAATAGTCAGTCATTGAATTTCGCTAAACCAGAGTGGACTAGTAACGACAGGAAGAGTAACTAAGTTTCAATGAATCTCCTGAGATAACATTATTGCTTGGACTTATTTCGTATGAGAGTGCTAATTTGAGAATTTTACAAGAATGAGTCCCAATTCTAATGGTGTCCATCATATGATGGACGAAAGCTTAGCCCGTTTTCACCCGAAAGAGTGAGATGGTCTCGTGGACTGGGCCAATCTCAACGTCGTATAAGAGCCAAACGGCTGCTCTACAACGGGGTTTAACCGCCCTCTGGTAAGATCGAACTTCGAATCTCTTTTTCATACACTTTCATATGAAATGAAAGTTCATGCACCAGTTGAGAACTAACTCAGTGTAGATTAAGTTTTCATGCATTGCTACTATGGCTTACTGCCACGGGTACTATTGGGTCACAAGGTCATCGTGCCTTTTAAGGTAAGCCATGACTATTTGGGGGCCAGTATAAACGGGATATGGTAGATGTATGATTTTGAAAATCACTTCTGCCTTGTGACCCACTGGCATTCGAAGCAGTACAGCCTAGTGCAAACGTCTCGAAAACTGCGCACAACCTAGGTTAAAGTTACATGGAGGGTGCTGTTAAGATCTAGGTGACGTCGAAACTCCCGTCCAGCCTGGATGAGAGAACGATTCTGGAGACAAGTCTAGGCGAAATTTAATGACAGCATGAGGCTAATTTATACCATTGTATGATTATTCACTGTCAGTTATTCATCACCTATATGTTATGCATATTTCAGTTTTTGTGACAACGCTCTAGTTTGACGTAAAACATTTTGGAATTTAACTCCTTTTACTTACTCCATTAGAGACGACTTTTCCCGTCTCTTTTGGATGTCGTTGGTCGAGTAATACAGATTTTGTTGCCCTAGCTACTGTATTTTTTTATTTTATGATTCAGTGGTATTTGGATATAGCATACAAAAATTCAATATTTTAACCCAATTTATGTACAGGATAACACTACTGGCATGAGTGTGTTGATGGCCGCTGCGGGCTCGGGACATCTTGACGTAGTCCGCTACTTGCTGAGCGAAGGGGCTCCTTGGAATGCTGTTGATAGAAAATATCTGTCTGCTGGGGACTACGCAGCCAAAAACGGACACCAGACTATAATAGATGCACTGATTGATCACGCCGTTACCTGCGAAATGCTACTTAGTCTGGCTCGGTCTGACTCCGAAGGTGAGGAGGAAGTTGATACCTGTGACGTTATGAAGCCAAGTTATCATGCCTCGGATGGCTGTTCGTCTTCGAAACGCTCAAGATCGAGTGTTTTCTCGATCGACGCAAGCTCTGCTTCGGGGGACGATAGGACACCGCTAGTAGAACAAGAAAGCCTTCTCAATTCAGCTTATTTGAGATCACGTCTCGAATATTCTGATAATGGACAGCGCTTGATGGATACTGGCACCAATCTGGCCGTCATGATGGACTGGGAGCGTCCGCTGATGTCTAGACACGCAGAATGGATTTGCTTCGCCGACCATTGTGATGCTAAATCCGCCTCCTTAAAAGACCAGGCACGTGAACTTCGTGTATTGAACGTCGGTTTTGGCATGGGCATTGTGGACACTGCGATTCAATCTTTTACGCCCACTGAGCACGTTATAATCGAGGCTCATCCTCAGGTTCGTTAAGAAGTGTTTTTGTTTTCCTCATGAATATAACTAATTAAATAAATACTGCTAGAGTCTTGACAGAGCCCATGACGTAAAGATGTACTCTATTTACTCTATTTTATCGATTGAGGGCTATACATAATTTTCATTTTTAGTGATAGCAACGTTGTCTTCAAAGTGCTCCCAAATATAATTTGTGTTGCTTTAAATAAAATAATCCACGCTACTTATGGTATTTAAGTAGGATGATTAAAATATTGTTTTATGTTGGCTGGAAAATTTTTATCCCAGATTTCGTGACTTGATCTGCTGTTCCTATTATTAATCTATGCTATTTTTCCTTTATTATATTCATTATTGAGGTGAAATTTTCTAATATAACCGAATTTGTTTTAGGTCCTTGACTTCATGAGATCGAAGGGTTGGCAAAACCGTAGAGGGGTCTCTATTTTATCTGGCCGCTGGCAGGAGGCTGTGATTACACTAAAGGAGGAGATAATCTCCTGTAATCGTCCTCGCTTTGACGGGATTTTCTTTGACACCTATGCTGAGGACGACACGGATTTGCGTCGGTTTCATAGCTACTTGCCTTATTTATTAAGACAAGATGGCGGCCGTTATTCCTATTATAATGGTTTGTGTCCAGACAATGTCTTCTTTCATGGCGTGGCCTGCGAGACCCAGAGGCTTTTACTTAAAAAGCAAGTTTTTTTTTCATGGGATACTTGCACGCAAAATTCATTTTATGACCTGCATTCTATAGTTTTGTCTGCTTCGTTTAACCTGTATCTCAAATTAAGTTCGTGTATGAATGAATCTAAACGGTTTGGATGTCTTATCCTTTCATTTGCACATATTTGTTCATTCTGCATGTTCAACTATAAGCTTAACAATATGGATAAATTGCCTTATCTTATTTGCTATCTTTAGATGGTTTTTCGAATCAATTTTTAGTCTGAGTGGTTCCAAATGGATAAATTTCTTTATATTTCTCGATTATTCTAACAAGTTAATTCTTTGTGCTCTGTTCACTGTATTTCCCTTCATTTATTTCTATTGCAAAGTACTTTTGGCTAGTTTATCTGGAATTTTTATGTTTAAATTGTCTGATGGAATCCATGGGAAAATTGCAACACAGTCCACCCAAGTTTCCTTGAACTAGTTTTGTGGTCCCTTGCTTATTCTAGCCCTCCTTTATTGTCTTAGAGACGTCAGCTTAAGGGTTTGTGTCAGGGTACCAAACCTTGCTCGCATCGTTGATTCGCATTAAACTAGTTGGCCAGTGGAAATGAGAAATTGATACAATTTCCACAGGCACTTTTCCTTTAGTCTCTTTCTGGATACAGTCAAGGTGCGAAAGCAAGATGGGACGATTCTTATGCACCAAACAGAGGCTTCGGGTACACTATTGACACATCATCTAAGCTCGATATGAATTTAAATTTTATTTTATTTTGTTTTTATTAGCATTTATTTCTGAGGATCACTAGAAGGCCTTTTAGCCCGTATAATGGGAAGTTCATTCAGATTTTATCAGATTTAGGAGCAATATAACCAATGCACTACTTCTCTTTCTTCGTCATTTTCTTCTACTTTATCCTCCACGAGTGAATGCCTGGCCATTGTGCTACCGAAGACTTAGGAATCGAGTTTGTTTTTCTTAACTGTAATCATCATGTTTCTCGTGCATTTTGAGACAAAAATTGCAATGAACTGTTTTTCAATTTGAGCCAGAGTTATTATACTCCGATAATGACAGTCTAAAAGATTATCTCTTCTCTTCTAGCATGGTAATATTGCTTTAGAAAGTGATGTCTTCGTTCCACTCTGCTTTATTTATTACTAGTGTCTGGGCCATAAAGGCATGTTACCTATCTACCTCGTCTCGCGACTTCTATTTTTTCTGGCCACTAACTCGCTAGTTTGCTTGACACACGCCCCCTATGTGTGCTGATTCTGTCTGCCCTACATGCAGCGCTCATCGGGCAACAGTATATGATCAAAGTTCTCATATCCTCGTTTCTATTTTCCTTTTTTTGCGGGCTCCTCTCTATCGGTTAGTTGGGAGTATGGTTTCTATGCCACTTTAGATTCTTTGCTTTAGCCGTGACCACTTAAATTCTCCCTCGCCGAGTCTTCAGCACCAAAATCTGCCTCTTTATGTTCTCTTTCGTGGACTTCTGTTTATTTTCCAACTATCGTTTTAAATTATCTCTATTTTATCACTATTTTACGATAGGCATTCTTTTATATGCTTTTAGCTTGTCCTAATTGTCGTATTCTGTCATAGTTCGAGTGATTTCAGCAAAATTTCGACAGCTTATGATCCAGTCTTGTTATGGCTGATGAGCGCAGGATATATTTTCAGATAGGCTCTTGACCGGTTTTGGTTTGTATCAAGCAGATAAATTCTTTATTTAGAGACTACCAGTAAATGAGGCCTTTCTTATACCTTTATAGCTGGGAGGCTGAATGCCAGATACTACCCTTGTAGCGTATATAAGATAGCTTGCTCATTCTATTCCTTTGGTGTAATATTACGATTACTCACAT